GCAGAAACCAGATGGGGCAGCAGCCGCCGTGGCCCCGGCCTCCCTCTTGGGCCCCTTTATTGAGAACCTCCCGTGAGGCTGAGGTAAGGACCGAGAACCTGTGTCTAAACCCAGCCCTTTCCTAACTCCACTGACAATAACAACCCCGCGTGGATGGCCCACGTTTTTCCTCGTATTGGGAGAGCTGCAGGTTTGCTGCTCTAAATCTACAACTGACTCCAAAGACTTGCCAGGCAGGTCTAGTTAGCAACCCCCTCTCTCCGGCAGAAAGCTTGAGAACTCAAAAGAAAAAAAATCACTTATACAAATATTTTCCCGGAATTGTGTTTACTTTTTAATCTGAGGAACAAAAAAAAAAAAAGAAAGGGAATTCCCACACTCAACTTTTTTTTTGGTTTGGAAACGCGAAGACATTTCCTTTAGACACTCTCAGCAAAACAGATGCTATGCCAAAACCACTTGGCTCCGTTCAGCCTGCACCACACCCTCATGTGCTGGTGCGGTGCCCTGGCCCTCCTTGCTCCTGCGGGTCCAGGCTTCTGCAGAAACGGGAGGGACTCAAGTCCCACAGAGAACAGCAGGACACATGAGCAAGAGAGCAGACACACAGCACCAAGCTGGACCAACAAGCCTGGTCTAGAGAGGACAACCTAAAGCACATTTGCTATATGGCCCTATGGCAGAATGGGCAGATGCTGCTCCTCAGCAAGGCATTTTGATGTGTATGAAACCAAAGTTTTACTCAGCACCAAAAATATTTGGGTTTCTGCAACAGATGTTGACTTCCTCCTACACCCCCTCAAACTCCACAGCTTTTCATCCTGGAAAAAACGCTTCTTTGGAAGCCCTCCGGTTTTTAACCAAGTCTGTCTCAGAGAAAACGTTCCTCTGTGCTAAAGATGGGGCTTTCACAGGAAACAGTTTAGAGAACACGTTCTAACCAAAGGCAAGTCCACCACAGACTAACTGCTTTCAGATCTGAATTCAGATGTTGTCACGCACTGAACCCACTGACCTCTATGAAACTGCCTGAGCTGCATCTTCTGCAAGTTGAGAATAATAACAAAAAGCAAGTTTTTTACATTTGCACCGCTAAATAACTTAGAGGCAGCGGAGTGCCGAGAGAGGCTTGACAGAAGCCTCCTTCACAGGCTTCCTTCACAGGAAGGTGATTTCCACAGCGTGTCCCCCTAGCACTCAACCAAACCTGTCACGATCTATTAAAATCCACACAGGAACTCCAGCTGCGCAGCTATACACCAAAAGTGTGTTACCTCCCTTTTCAGTGTCACTTGCAGCAGCTCCAGCTTTGCAACGCTTTTCTAATCGCCTCCTTTAACAGCTTCCTGCCTATTAACTTCCCTCTTCTAGCACCAGCCTTAGCGCTGAACCG